TGAGGCGCCCATGCCTGCCAACCTGGATGCTTTCTCTTCTTTTTAAAGTCTTACTTGGTGCTGAGAGGAGCCCTCGCTCAGTCTCCCTGCACCCTGAAAGGGGGCTGGGGTGGGATCCGGGTATGAAGTGGTGCCAGGCAGCAAACGCACCATGCCTGATGCAGGCTGGCTAAGGCCCGCCTGAGTGATCTGCTGGCGGAGACTCTGGGAAAGAGGCCCCGATCTGGAGATGGAATTCCCAAACATGGCCGGTTTGTTCAAGGTCAAGAGGGCAGCGTTGGCTGGTTTGATGCAAAGCCTTTTAGTCTTTGAATGTTCATGTTCCATCACCCAAACCCTCGCTATCCACCACATGCCAAGTACAGGACCACATAACGTTACACGTCACACTGTCACAATGTTACCCTGATGAGAGCTACAATAGCAAGGAGCTCCGGGAACAGGAGCCAGTCTCACCCAGTTGGAAGGGGGACCCTGGGTGAGAGAGGCAGGCATGCCACGGCCACCTGCGACCTCACCCACCGGGTGGCCCTGGGGAGAGGGAAGGGAGGCAGACAACTGAGATGCAGGAAGATGACGGGGACAAGAAGGAAGGATGAAGCCCACACAGTCACGTCTGTGGCTTGAGAGACTAAATGGTGGTAATCCCCCAGGTTCCTCGGCTGCGATGTCGTGGCTGGAAACACCTCTGACACAGCCAGGGGCACCTGTCCCCAGGCACTGGCACACTGGCTGGTGCTCAGGATGGGTCTGAGGCGGGCACCTGAGCCACCACGGATGCCGGCTGGAGCGGTGAACTGGAGGGAAGAAGGCTGAGGGGAAGGGCCCCCCACCCGAACTCCGAACTCAGGGATGTGAAGTCAGGGCTCGGGCGGGGAAGGTGCTTCAGGGGAAGCTGTGGAGCTGCTGAGAAGGAAGAGCAGCTCTGGGCGCGGCACCTGCAGGCCACAGAGGAGGCTCTGGCAGCAGGAGTGGCAGGCAGCGCACGACTGACAGCAAGGTCGTTCAGAGCTGTCCCCTCACTCAGCAGTAAGCTGTACGGGTTCCGTGGGCTGGCAGAGGAGTCAAGAAGTAACAACATCAGCAGATGATTGGATCCAAAAACTATGGTACATTTACACAATGGAATACTATGCTGCCATAAAAAAGAAAAAATTTCTCATCGTTTGCAGCAACCTGGATGGAATTGGAGAACATCATGCTGAGTGAAACAAGCCAGTCAATGAATGAGAGACACCACATGACCTCACTCATTTGTGGATGAAAAAGAACATTATAAACTGAAGAACCAAAAGATAGATATAGAGACAGTAAAGCAACAAGCAAACTGTCAAATGACAGCGGGGAGGTTGGGGAGATCTGGGGGAGATAAGAGATCAACCGAAGGACTTGTATACATGCATGTAAGTACAACCAATGGACACAAAACTCTGGGGAGGGAGGGTATGTACGGGAGGGGGGGGCATTGGTATGTGTACAAAAATAGTAATTTAATAAAAAATATATTTTCTTAAAAAAGAAGTAACAATAGAAAGAACCTTCTTTAAATGGCACTGGAAAGGGAGCCAGAAGCTCGGAGAGAGAGGGGGCTGGTTTCGAGCAGAATGGACGAGAGCAAAGACTCCAGGAAGAGACAGAGACAGACACGGGCAAGGGCACGGCGGACGGGGCAACCTGGCAATGGTTGCCTAACCCTTAACCGAGCTTCGCTCAGAGCAGAAGGGGAGAAGACGCCGTAGAGACGAGGCCGAAGCCAGGCTGGGAAGGCGTTCTCGTTGGGATGGAATAGATCAGGGACAACGGCTCAAGGACTGTGATCAATACAGCAAGCGAGTGGTACCAGCGGCCAGGAGGTTCGCTGTGAGTCCACATGAAGCAGGATCTCTCCCAGAGCAACATCCTTCCACCCGCAGCCCCGCCGCAGGCCCCAACGTGGCCCGAATCTGCCCGTCAACACGCAGCAGCCGATTCCCATCACACAGCCGGCCGCACGCACTGACAGGGCGGAGACGACGTGGGCGTAGAGGCATCTCACCGCGAGCCCACGCCAGCTGTAAGGAGGCATGTCCCCACCCGGACAAGCAGGTCTGACGAGCATGGAGGGAGCTCGGACGGCCGCAGAGAAGATGGGTGCCCAGTGGCATCTGACATTTACCCACGTGACACCATCCCCCTGTCCCCCTACGCTGAGGGGAACATGAGAACAGAGCTGACCCAGGAGCCCAGTTCCCAGCCTCTTGAACACCAGGCCAGAGAAAACCCCGCAGGAACATCCTAGTACGATTACGTCCTGCCCCTAAAACATCTGGTAGTTTCCCGTCAGCACATCCATCACAAACTTGACAACTTGCTTTATTCCAGCCTGTTTTCCAACCGAGGCAGCATCACTGACAAGTAAAATATGCCCAGTCACGCCTCTGAACATGGAGGCCGTGTGAAACCTCGGGACCTGGGTCACGTGGAAGCATTCCCTAACACGCCAGCAACACCCACGTGCCACTGACACATCGGCCGGGGCTCCGGGAAACACCCAGGCTCTCACACGCCAGGGGACTCTGCCTGCGGACGTCACTTTACCAAGTCTGGTTCTCTGGCTCTTGTTTTAATAAACAGATTTAAAGAGTAAGTCAGAAGGGATCAATATTCCGTGGCTAGAGGCAGGCATACAGTCAATCTAAAAATCAGAGAGCATTAAAATAAAAAAAACACCATAAGGAGCCACAGAGAAGAGAGCTAACAATATTGTAATTAACTTTGTTTGGTGACAGATGGTGTGATAATGACACCATGAGGTACACAAACACTGAATCAGGATGTTGTGCACCTGAAGTGAAACTAATATTATATGTCAACTACAATTAAACATTCTAAAGACGACATCATAGCTATTTTGAAGTCAATAATAATAAAAACTTGGCAAAAAAAAACAACTAAGGAACAAAAGAGAATTCAAAAAGTCTTAGCAAAGATCTAGATGATTTCACTCATGTGAGGAATGTGAGACTGAATGTTACGGACACAAACAGCAGTGTGGTGGCTGCTGGGGGCTGAGGGGTTTTGGTGGGGGGCGTCTGTCTGTCTCTCCTCCTGGAGTCTCCGCTCTCGTCCATTCTCCTCTAGTGTGAGGAGACAGATTTGACCTTGGCTGGGCACATGGTCCTCGATACAGGCATTGTAAATTCGTAACCCACACATGAAACCTGCATGTTCGTTCGTGTTGACTAATGTCACCCCAATACAATTTAAAATAATTAAATATAGCCGAAACCGGTGTGGCTCAGTGGTAGAGCATCAGTCTGCAAACTGAAAGGTCCCAGGTTCGATTCTGGTCAACGGCATGTACATTGGTTGCAGGCACATCCCCGGTAGGGGGTGTGCAAGAGGCAGCTGGTCGATGTTTCTCTCTCATCGACATTTCTAGCTCTCTATCTCTCTCCCTTCCTCTCTGTAAAAAATCAATAAAATATATTTATATATATATATATATATATATATATATATATGTATAGCCAAAAAAAGATAAATTAGACATCAAAATAAAAAACTTTAAAATAATTAAATATATATATTGTATCTTCAGGGGGAACAAAACAAGTACCTGCAGGACTGGGCCATTTAGTAAAAAAACAGCCCTGTGAGCATCGTCTCCGCAGGCACTTCCGGGTTAAGTTTAAAAATTCAGCTTAAGAAACAAACGTGAGGCCCTGGCTGGGTCGCTCAGGTGGTCAGAGCGTTGTCCCAATGCACCATGGTGGATGGTTCAATCCAGGTCCAGGCCATAAAGCGTCAACCCATGAATGCCTAAGTCAGAGCAACAATAAACTCATGTCCTCCCTCCCTCCCTCTCCCTCTCTCTCTCTCTCCCCCCCCAAAAAAAAAATCAATAATTAAGAAAATAAGTGTCAAGCATTCAGAGTAACTGTCATCAAGAAAATGTTAGAATGATACAGTAAGCACTTCACCCACGGAGTTCCGTTCACTCGGGTAAATTAAAGGGCCAGAGAGTTTTCACATAAAGACCCTTTCACATAAAGGGTCTAGAATGTCTTCCGAACCCTCTTATTGGAACACTCCACTGGAAGTAGAACTTGAAACACGCTTATTAACAAACACGGCTCTATCCACGACCTGGATGGTACGAACAGGAATTGTTTCGGAATCGTCCTGCCTAATGAAGAGTGAATGAGTTCTGGAGCATAAGGGATTCTGTTCCGTGGCATGTGTGTTATAAGAAGTAACCCCTCTAATGTATGGAATAGCTATTGCGTGAAATGTTTGCTGTATGGAAACCCCCGATACCCTGGAACTTCCATAACTGATGACCACCCCACTATCTTGATGTAAAAGCTCTGCGCCCTTAACATGTAAAAGCCCTGCTCCCAGCATAAGGCACACCGTCTGGCCCACACTGTAAGGACACAGCTGGTGACCGGGGTCTATATAACCCAGGGACCTGTCCAATGAGAGGAGGACTCCACGTCGCTCCAAGAGACAAGCCCCTCACTGCTCTGCTGTGTGAGCCTGAACCACCTGCGGCCGCCTGCCTGTCTCTGTCTTCGTTGTCCGTCCTTCAGTGTGCATCTGGGGGCCTTTGCCGGAGCCTGGGACCCACTAGGAATCGGTAAATAAACCCTGTGTAAGTGCACACTCATTCTATCTGTGTGTCATGTGTTCCAGTTCGGCTCAGCAGTCTAGACACTGAAGCACCAGAGCATAGACCGTGCTTGACTGCTGACTCCTGGTCGCCTGCGTTTGTCCCACTGAGTCTAGACAGATAATCAGTTAATTATCTGTCTTAATTGGGACAACACGCCACCCACGTGGTTCAAGTAAACTCTTACAAAAGGCAAACAGGTAGCTGACTGAGCTAGCCAGGAATGACGCCTCGTGTCCCGTCAGCACCGAGGCTCCTACCTGCGCGTTTTAAAGCAACGACTCACTGGGTGGCCGGCCAGTATGTGACACCCAACAACTGCTGGGCCTCGGCTCGCAGGACCTACCCCTTCCTGCTTCGCGAAGAGCGTGAGGCAGTCGCTCAGCGCCGCACAGGCCTCCCTCGAAGCCTCGGAGACGACGTCGACTTTCTGAAGAAATGACGGCAGCATCTCTGAAATAAACACACACCCAGTGAGCGGGATCGCAGTCATCCGTCAGCTCCGACCACAGACACTCTTCCAGCCGCCAGCTCCGTGCCTTCTTCCCGCCCCGTAACAGAGCTCAGTCCAGTCCACAGGCATCAGCAAGCAGGGACCGCCGCGCACGGAGAGGGAAGGTTTGGGAAGGCGGACGTCCAAGGACAGAGCCAGGCTGGACGCACGCATGTTCAAGAGCAGCGGCTGCCAGAGGGCTGAGGGCACTGGTTACACATTCCGTCTCCTTGCCTGACGCGCCTGGACTATCCCTCAATTCGACCGGAAATCACCGCAGTTGGCAGGCTGGCTAACATACCCGACGGGGCATTAACCCAACTTCCTCTGGTTCTTTTATTTGTTTAATACATTAGTATTGATTTCAGAGAGGCAGGGAGAGGGAGAGAAATATCAATGAAGAGAGAATCACTGATTCGCTGCTTCCTGCACGCCCCCCACTGGGGATCAAGCCCACAACCCGGGCACGTGCCCTTGACTGGAATCGAGCCTGGGACCCTTCAGTCCGCAGGCTGATGCTCTATCCACTGAGCCAAACCGGTTTCGGCTCAGAGCCTTTTAGTAGGTTCGATCCTACAGAGTTTCTTATTTCTTAGAATGAGCTTGTGTGGGAAGGAAGAACTGGCAGTGCTATGGTCCCATATCCCCAGGTGCCCTGAAGAAACTCTGAACCATTTACCATTAACCTTACCCCATTCACCATCACAGAGAACAGGACACGAGACAGAATGCACGCCCGTCGTGTCAAAGTACACACCATTTCCCCTCGGGATCAATGCAGGGACACAGCTGGAAGCCGTTTGGAATGTATGTTACCTGTGCATTAGGGTACTTTACATGTGTCTTTTCATCAAATAAAAAGCATAACATTGAGGAAGCTTTTCATCAAAAAAATAAGAGGAGAAAGACAATGACATTGGCCCCATCCTTTGTATTCCAATGGCCTCACTTAGAACGCTGTTTTAGCCAATTAACAGTCAGAGATGAAGCGGTAATGAGTAAGTGCGAAGTGAACGGATGGCTGGCTCCCGTGTCTGGCCTACTGTAGAAAAGTGGACAGCTACTTTTGAGGAAACGTTATTTTTTATAGGAAAATTATTTCTGAACTCAGGAAAGATGCCATAAGGTCGGAAGTGAGAAACTTCTCTTCCGAGACGTGTAAAAAGCTCCGATCTGCCGTTGCCATGACGCCCCGTAACTTCCATCTGGGTAACGGTGACAGAGTGCTTGTTTCTTTTACGGGAACAAACTCGCCCTGGCACCGCCGCTCCCGGCTCCAACGAGGAAAAGCCACCTGGCCCGAAACCTCGCCGCGCCACCTCGCCATTCCCCGGGCGCGCTTCCTGCGAAGCTCTCTTCCTAGAAAGAGGCCTCCAGACTTTGTCCAGGAGCTTCCTCCCCCTGAGACTGGAAATAATTCCTCATGTTCCCCTGAACCACCTCACACCCTGGAACATTCCGGGATCTACATTCTGGGAGCAACATTCCAGGAGCTCCATTCCGGGAGCAGCAGAGGAAGGTGAGGCCGGGCAGGGTGGCCAGCAGAGAGCTGTGGCTGTCCTCACGGAGAAGGCTGTGGCCTAGAACATTCCGGAGCAAGCAGGGGAAGTGAAGGCTGCCCTCATGGAGAACGCTGTGGCCTGCTTAGCGCCTGGGAGGGAATGCGCAGAGACATCAGGGATGGAATGGCGGGCGGGAAGAGACCCCAACTCCAGGTCTGGGTGAGGCCAGGGTCTCCCTGGGGGGAGGAGCCGGCAGGGAGGAGGGAAGGACCTGCAGGGCTGGTGGTCTTCAGCTCGGCTTGGCCTCTTCTAAGCGAGACCTGTGAGTGAGTGGGTGTTCCACTCACTGGGCGTGTGTTCTAGAAGGATCCCCGCAGGGCTGAGGCAGCAGGGACCTGGGCCTGTCCGGAGGCCACTGCAGTGTGGCAGGGCGAAGGCGGGGAGGGGGGGACACGGGGACTGGGTAGACTCAGGGAAGGGGGGGGGTGCAGGGACTCAGGGAGGACGAAGGCGGGGAGGGCAAACGCAGGGATGGGGCAGACTCGGGGACTCGAGGATTCAGGGAGGGTGAAGGCGGTCGGACGGGGAGTCGCTGACGTGGGGATGGGCTGCCTGAAGCCTGGGATCCTGATGGAAGGCTGTAAGTGATGGAGGTGCAGAGCGAAGTGACCCTGCTTTCTAAGCTGGGACGCACTTCCATGCAGTAGCGTGCAAGGACGTGTGCGCATGAAGGGCACGAGGAGTATAGCTCAGCAACATGCAACCACAGGATCAACAACACAAACACACGTCCACCCAGATCCAATCTCCACAACCTTTGGGTGATGAAGCCGTGGTCACGCAGACTTGGCGTTACTGAGGGCAGGAAGGGGTATCTGGAGGACAAAGGGCCGCCTGCCTCAGGAAGCCCCTGGGCTGCGCTGCAGGGTGGTTCTGGTTGTGGACAGAGACTGGCAGAAGCTGCTACGCTGCTTCCTGGGACCCTCCAGTGGCTGTGCCAACCAGAGCCTGATTCAGCTCCATCCTGTGCCCTTGATCGGAATCCAACCTGGGACCCTTCGGTCCTCAAGCCAACACTATCCACTGAACCACACCAGCTAGGGCTACATCTTTTAAATGTTGCTGTTTCTCTTCTTGCTTTGGATGGTTCTTGGCAAAGATGGTGTTTTAAGAGCCCATTGCTGGCCGATGGTCTGAGCATAACTCTACGCAGACACTAGACCCTGCAGGGTGAATTCTAGCCATGTGAATTCCAGCGAATTAAGCTGCGATAACTTCTAAAAGTCCACTGCGGATGGACAGCGCTCACACACTATTCCAGCGCAATTCGCCATCACAACGTCCTAACCGCTGTCTGCCCACAGCTGTCCTCCCGCTGCGGTCCCTGCTGACATGACCAATTCTGAGGGGCTGGAGGGGTGCCCGAGGCACATCTGGAGATGGAGCATCTACACCAGTTCCTCTAACGGTGACATCTCCTCTCAGTCTCGGGCATGCACACACGGAGCCTGGGAGCTCACTGAGGGACACCAGTTCATGCTGAACACGGATCACTAGTAATCACCTCAGAGAACGGAAGCAGTCACACGCTAGAGACCGCACCGTCAGGCCAAGAAACAGTTCCTTCAGGTACGAAGTCCAGTGACACCTCCAACTCTGCATTGTGGTGTTGGCTCGGACATTTCCTACCAGGTTGTGTTTTGATTTCTGGAGGATCTGTAGTCAACCCCCAATAATTCATAACTAGCGGAGAGGAGAGACACAGAAGGTGAACACGGGTCGCCATCAGCAGGCAAGCTTGTGCAGTCGCAGAATGGAAGGCCCAGCCCTGCAGCCCACCAGCCTCACTGACAGGGGGGAAGCGGCTCTTCAGGCAGAGTTGTGGGGGGCAGAGCCGTGGGGGGCAGAGCCCATAGGGGACAGAGCCGTGGGGGGCAGAGCCAAGGGCCACGCTAGGACCCTCATGGCAGCACCACAAGCAGGATTCCAACGACACAGCCAAAGTGAGTTTCCAGCCCCAAGATGGTAACTGTGACTGTTTTTCTTTTTCTTAAAAGAATAAAAACTTTTAACCTAAAGGGCAAGCCTTCTCCACAAGGAGAAATTTTAAACAGCCCCTTTAAAACTTCAAAATGGTTTTCTCAAACGGAGAACTGACTTCACAACCAAACATTATCTGATCATACAGCCAAGCAGAACAGCTGAGGCCGTCTAGGAGAAAGGCTGTGTGAGAGGCGGGGCTGGCGCTAGTGCCGTCTCTGGTTTTTGGTGGTTTTTACCTTTAGCCACGTCACACTCCTGCATCATCTGGAGAAAGCTGGAGAGTTCCCTATCGAGGCGCTGCCGGCATGCCTGCGCTTTCTGGGAAGAAAAAACAGAGAGACAAGGTGAAAATGAACTGAAGCATCCATCTTCTATAAAAACTGCTGTTTGAAGTTTTAGCCCTGCTATTTGGCTTCTGTAAACGCTTGCTTGCTTACATAATAAGGAAAATAAGATTACTCCCACTTCAGAGAGACCATTAAACCTTCCCCGGACGAAGTTATCAGTGCTGGCACCAGGCCAGGCCTTTGGTTGAGGTCGCAAGACCCAGCACATAGGGGCTCTTTAAGAACTTGCAAAGGGAGCCGGAAACACCCCATATTTGGGAGACAAAGAAGGTAAAAATATACAAATAGGGAAAGTTCCTCCATGTGAGGGCCCAGAATTTGAGAGACATTTTCCTCTGGACCCGAGTGTCATAATTTAGCTCCATCTAAGTATAGCTTGGTTCTTCTCCGGTTTTCTGAAACAGATCCATTAAAAGACTTCTATTTACAGATGCTCTGATGTTCCATCCAAACGGGGGTGTGCAGGAGGCAGCTGATCGATGTTTCTAGCTCTCTATCCCTCTCCCTTCCTCTCTGTAAAAAAATCAAAAAAATACATTTAATTAAAAAAACAAAACAAAACAAAAAAACTCGAATGTTTCCAAATTCCAAGCACAGTCAGCACCTGCTGTGCAGACCTGGACGAGGCTCTCACTGCTCCCACTCCCACCCCCACACATGTCCGAGGCAGCCAGTCCCTGGCTTCGCACCACTGCTAATGGGCTTACGTTCACGGAGAAATTACCCAATGCATCCCCGACTGTGTCTTTGAAACTATTAAGAAGTCCAGATGGTGCCAGCACTTGGAATCACACGCTGAGCCACTCAGAGAGCTAACCGCTGCCGTCCCCACAGTCAGACACGCTAAGGACACGCGCTCAGCGAGAAGCTTATGACAAGGAGGTGACGTCAGTGACAGACAGAACCCTTCCCGTCACGCAGAGTCCCCGTGACGCTATATCTGCCTGAGTGTGTATCTGCAACCCAAAGGGAGCAATCAGATAAATCCGCCCATTTTGTGAACGTTACTTCATTGTTAATTTTGTTTATGTTTCCCCTTAAAGGGGGAAACAAGCAAGGAAGTAAGTGGTGGCTGTACGGTGGGTGGGACGGGAGTGAGCACGTCTGTGCCGAGCGCCTTGGCCTCCTTAGAGCCCGCTGTGCGGGGAGAAGAACTTCCCCTTCCTGGCCCTCCCCACCTCTGCCCTGCTCATCTCCACACCAACCACTGGCCTGTGACTCGAAACCGGACCCGTGAGCCCGGGGACACCCGGCCTTTCCCTTTGGAAGCCGGCGCTGCTCAGCTCCGCTCAGAGGGTCAGCACGGGAGAGACGGGCCGTGCCTGTCTCCCTGAAGTCTGCGTGAGTCTGTTTTGAGTTCTAACAACGTAAAGTTCTCTTGTTCTGAGAGAGCCTCCGACGTGGTTTGCTGGGCGGCCTCTCACGGGGCGAATGGGGGCGGAGAGGACGCGTGGATCTCGGGGACTGGGCCTTCTTCGCTCCAACCCCCCCCTCCGGGCACACCGAGGTCAGCGTCAGCTTTCCTTCCGTGGGAGTGCAGCGCACTAAGGTGGCTCACTCGCAGACGGCGAACCCGAGTACTCACGCTGGTCCGAGGCGCCCGCCCAGGACCGGAGCCTCCCACACATCGTCCTGACACCTGCCTCTCCCCGCCGCCCCTCGCCGTCCACCAGACACCGCTGGCGTTCTGATGACGACCAACTCAATCTCAAGGACGTCAGACCGGCTGGCAGTCGCCCCCACGCACTCCTGTCCGGGTGGGACCAGGGGCCCTGCCATCAACGACCAGTGCCACGTGACTGACACGGAAAAGGAAGGAAGGGGCGAGTGGGACAGAGTGTGTTCTCCAGCTGCCATTTCTTCTCCGAGGCTGTTGGTTCCATTCTGAAGCCCAAGAACCATTTACGAGGCTACGGTCTCTGCCAGGCCAGCATGGACATGGACCCTCCTTCTTGCCATCCAGGCTGTTCACGGGTGGCGCCTCCAGGACTGCTTTTAGGTTTTAATTCCTATGGGTTCCACAGCCAGGGATCCCAGAGAGCCAGGTCCCAACACCGGGCGTGGTGGACTTAAAGCCACGTTCTCCGGGCAGAGCATAGCACCCACAGCCCACGGAAACAGGCCCTCAGACATGGGCCTGTGGACACAGAACAAGGACATGGTCCACACGGACATGGACCTCAGATATGGGCCACAAGCACAGGCCCACGGGGCCAGGGGAGCAGTGAGCCCCACCCGCAGATCGGCCTCCTGCTCCACCCTCCGCCCACCCAGGTGCCAGCTGTTGGCTTTGTTTGACTGAGCTGACGCTGATGCACTTTATGGTCCCTGCCCTGCAGACCAGCTCATCACCTGCCCCCAGGAGGGGCCTCCGGGAGCAGGACAGAGTGGGAGGAGTCCTTCCTTCCGGCTGGGTGAGGACCTCCACCTGTGGGTGAGCAGCCCGGAGCAGCCGCTGCCACTCCCGGCCAGACAGCACATGGTGGACGCAGGCGGCAAGTGAGAGGAGGCCGGCACCAAAGGGCGCAGTCAGAGACTCCACTGACTAACCCTCGGGAACAGGCAACATGGACGCTGCCTCTCGCCACAAGAAGCATCCGCGGGGCCCCATTGGGCAGGGGCAGCGTGGGGCAGGGGTACCGTGACGCAGTGTCACATGCTTAGGCAAGGCATCACAGGACAGTGTCGCCACAATGCACAGGGTTAGAGGCTGTTACCGGGCAAAGAGCAACGCCATATCCGTGGCCAGAACCCCTAATCTCAAAGTCTCCCCTAAAAGCATCCTCAGTTCCTGGTGGCCCTGCCGGGGAGCTGGCTGTGAGGCCGTGAGGCTTCCTACTCACCTCCAGGGACACCTGCAGGGCCCGGGCCGAGCCCGCCTCCTCTTCCTCCTCGTCATCGTCCGGCACCTGGTCCTGGGAGCAGTAGTGCGTGCTGTAGGCCGTGTGCTCCTCGATCGCCTCCAGCCAGTCCTGGAGAAGCCCAACAGGTAACTTAGTGGGAAACGTGCCAGCGCAGGGCTCCGGGGCTGAGCATCGACCTATGACCTGGGGGGTCACAGTTCGGTTGCCAGTCAAGGGTTCAATCCCCACTGGGGGGGGGGGTGTGTGTGTGCAAGAGGCAGCCAATCAATGATTCTCTCTTCATTGATGTTTCTATCCCTCCCTCTCTCTCTCTTTCTCTCTGAAACCAATACAAATATTTTTAATTAAAAAATAAAGAGAAATGCATTTTTACTCAAAAGAGGTAATATGACAATGATCTGTAAAGTGTAAAGTTTATATGGCCTAAAAAAAAACACCAATAAAGAAATAATGATACACATCTCTTATCTATAATACATCTAGTTTTTTTTTTTTAGTTCCAAGAAAAAAAAATAAAAGTAAAGTAAAAAATTAACTTCTTGTAATACATATCAATAATAACAATAAATAAAATACTGATATTTCTAAGTCAGCAGAACAGACCAATAGCTGTGTATAATTGGAAAAAATTAGAAACAACTATTAAACGAGAAAATGGTTTTTTAAAATATTCATAAAAACTGCTTTTCACAATATTTCTGCAACTTTATTGAGGTATGTTTTATATATTACATAACTTACTCATTTCAAGTATAAATTAATTTACATAAAATGTATCAACTTATAACTTACACCCAAAAAAAGTCCCAGTATTTTTAAAAAATATCATCTATAACTTTATATATTCATTGACCTTAATAGTCAAACACATTACAAAAAGTAACTAATAGGTAGAGTCTTGCATTTAAAATACTAGGTACTCGCCGGGACCGGTTTGGCTCAATGGATAGAGCGTCGGCTTGGGGACTGAAAGGTCCCAGATTCGATTCCGGTCAAGGGCATGTACCTTGGTTGCGGGCATATCCCCAGTAGGGGGTGTGCAAGAGGCAGCTGATCGATGACTCTCTCTCATTGATGTTTCTAACTCTCTATCTTCTCTCCCTTCCTCTCTGTATAAAGTCAATAAAGTATATTTAAAAAAATAATAATAATAAAAAAATAAAATAAAATAAAATACTAGGTACTCAAAACTGTTAAATCAAATTATTGTATAAGAACGTATTCAAAAACAATTTTACTTGCAATCAAATGATAAGCATAAGAAATTCAGTCATTTTCAGCCGGGACCGGTTTGGCTCAATGGATAGAGCGTCGGCTTGGGGACTGAAGGGCCCCGGGTTCGATTCTGGTCAAGGGCATGTACCTTGGTTGCGGGCATATCCCCAGTAGGGGGTGTGCAAGAGGCAGCTGATCAATGACTCTCATTGATGTTTCAAACTCTCTATCTCTCTCCCTTCCACTCTAAAAAATCAATAAAATATATTAAAAAAGAAAAAAAGAAAAAAAAAAGAAATTCAGTCATTTTCAGAGAATCAACAATTACCTTCATGCTTTAACTTTGACTATGTTTTTTTAAAAAACCAGTGACTTTACAAAAAGACCAAATATTTGCCCTAAAACACCAGACTTATTCCTCATTGTAGTATTAACTGGGACCAAATCCCCCCATTTTATGAAATGTTGGAACTGTCATAATTCGAATTATTCAGGGTTCTTTCTGAGGTCACAGTTAGCCACGGCGGAAGACAGCTTCTCTCAACCCCTTACACAATTTACAAGAAACAGGGAGGCCTGCGAATGCTGCTTGGACCTAAAAGAATAGGGCCTCTCGCCTGGCCAGCGTGGCTCAGTGGTTGAACTTGGACCTATGAACCAGGAGGTCACAGCTCTAGTCCCAGGGCACATGCCCGGGTTGTGGGCTCCATCCCCAGTGTGGGGCGTTCAGGAGGCAGCTGATCCGTGATTCTCTCTCATCACTGATGTTTCTCTCCCTCCCTCCCTCTCTGAAAACAATAAAAATATGCTTTTAAAAATAAAGAGCACGCCTCTCCATTTAAGGGACCACACTGTGAGCTCTTGACACCCGAACCCCCTCTTGCTGCTGCTATTGTTCAATTTACCAAAAGAAGACCCGAGTCCACAGGGGCATGAACCAGAGCAGCTGGGGGGTTGGCTCCGCCCTTGGCCATGACCTTGGAGAGTGGGCAGAGGCACCATCTCATGGCCTTCCATTTCCTCACCCACCGGGTGGGGGGGGGGGGAGGGCAAACTGCACACCCATTCAGGCTGTTTCCCAACCAGGGAGGCCCTTTACCTTCACAGAATCAGATGAGAAACATCATGAACAAAAGTACCTGCAGGTCCAGGTGGGTGAAGCACCAACACATCAGCCAAACCTCAGAAACGCCCACCCCTCCCCCCCATTAGAGAGGCAGCCCCGCGAGGCGTCGGGTGTCGCTATGGGCTTCTGCGCTTTGTCTCTAATCGCCCTTTGGGTTTCGGAGACTCAGGAACCCACAAATCACCTCTCTTGCCTGCGGAGGGCTGTTCTTAGGGACCTTGAAGCCGTGAATGGTGTCGTCAAAGCATTTAATGGAGAAGAGGCAGCTGTCACTGGGCTTGACCTGGAGACAAGAAGGCAGTGAGACACCACCACTCAACATATCACACAGATGCTTCATGACAACTATGACCTGTGACCTAGGAGGTCAGGATTCAACTCCCGGTCAGGGCACATGCCAAGGTTTCAGGCTCCATCCAAGTGGGGGGGGGGGGGTTTGAGGTGCAAGAGGCAGCCAACTGATGATTCTCTCTCATCACTGATATTTCACTCTCTCTCTCCCTTCCTCTCTGAAAGCAGTAGAAATATATTTTTAAAATAAGAGAGAAAGAGGGAGAGAGGCGCCAACATTGAGTGGGCAGGCCCTGCAGAGCTGACACCTGAGGACACCTGGTGGCAACACCAGGGACTGCGTCCAGGCTCGGGCTCAGGCCGCCTCCACTAAGCTCAGAGCCCGAGCTTCCTGCTCTGACACGGGCTTACCAGCACCAGGAAACCTCCCACCCCACTGTTCTCCTTTACCCATGCATAAACACACATGTGCACATGCATACATGTGACCACACATACACACACACAGCACGGGGCAGAAATAGGTCTACATTTTGAGCACACCGAACAGCTCATTTTTAAATACCACTTATTCACTGGAGTGTTTCCCACTGAACAACTGTAACCCCGCTCTGCCCCACCGCTCCGTGAACATGTATGCCTTACACATGTTCCTGGATCACTGCTCTCTCACGCAGAAATACGTGAGGACCAACCAAAGCTAATGCGTTTAGAGCGAAGACCCCCCACCCATTCTGTGGCGCCAGCACATCCCACCCGGGTCTGCAGAGGTAGCTTTTACACCCGGCCGGGCCATCGCTGGCTGGCCGGACCGACTCCCTGGTGTGAGCCAAGATGCGGGTCGTCCTACCGTGCACACGGCTTGCGTGAGGTGCTTGCACCCCTGGCGGTAAATCTTACGCGCGGCGTCAGGCCTTCAAAACAAACATTAAATGACACGGTGAAAGGAGAAGGTAAGTGGAAAGGTCCCGCCTTCCCACCTGGCTCACAACAAGGTAAGAGCCACTCACTGCTTCCGGTACCAGGACAGCACCCCATGCTCCAGCACCACCCAGAACAGCCTCCAGCCGAAGAACCGCGAGCTCTAGGGACGCAGACACAGGCTGTGAGCAGCTGCGCCCGGGCAGACAGAGGACACCCGCCGACAGATCCACGCCCACAGCTCCGGCCCCCAGGACTGCTCTGCGCCGTTTACCAACACCAGCCGCGGGCTGACAAGGCATTTCCCCAGTGAACTTCTCAACATGGAATCATCCTGATGCGTGTCACACAGTGTGTGCACACACGCATGTAAACACGGAGGCATGCTCGTGGGCGAGGAAACCTCAGGCCCTCACACAGCTCCGCCCGAGACCACAGAGTCAGACGCGCAGAAACGGCGGGAACAGAAAGACCCGTAGGTGTGCTGACAACTCGGAGCCTAAGTCCTCCCCGTCCTCCAGGTTCAGGGTTCGTGACAATCAGTAACTGTGATTCTCTGGTCCCGTTAGAAAACTGTCCCCCTTTCCCCTCCATCCTCCCGGCCCTCCCGCAGACATGGCCACTGGACAGGGCGAGACCACCGACACAGGCTGCCTGAGAGGCAGGGCCACCTCATGAAAGACCAGAAAACGATTCGGGACACCCCGAGCCCTCCACCAGGTCCCATGCCGACCCACCTTCCAGAGGGGACCTTCGAACGGCCTCAGCGCTCGGTACAGGGTCTGCGGGGAACGAGGCTGTGAAACCACTGCCAGCGCTCAGCGGCACCGTGCCCCGAGACCCGTGCCCGCCTCGTTCCCCCCGCGGCCCCGCACCCACCCTGCTCCCCCCGCCCACCCTGTTCCCCCCGCGGCCCCGCGCCCGCCCTGCTCCCCCCGCGGCCCCGCACCCACCCTGCTCCCCCCGCGGCCCCGCACCCACCCTGCTCCCCCCGCGGCCCCCCGCCCGCCCTGCTCCCCCCGCGGCCCCCCACCCGCCCACCCTGTTCCCCCTGCGGCCCCGCGCCCACCCTGCTCCCCCCGCGGCCCCCCGCCCACCCTGCTCCCCCCGCGGCCCCGCGCCCGCCCTGCTCCCCCCGCGGCCCCGCGCCCGCCCTGCTCCCCCCGCGGCCCCGCACCCACCCTGCTCCCCCCGCGGCCCCCCGCCCACCCTGTTCCCCCTGCGGCCCCGCGCCCACCCTGCTCCCCCCGCGGCCCCCCGCCCACCCTGCTCCCCCCGCGGCCCCGCACCCACCCTGCTCCCCCCGCGGCCCCCCACCTACCCTGCTCCCCCCGCGGCCCAGCGCCCACCCTGCTCCCCCCGCGGCCCCGCGCCCACCTTGTTCCCCGCGAGGAGCTGCTTCACCTCGGCGCCCTGGGCCAGCTGCAGCGGCTTCTGGTCTGCGGAGAGCACAGAGGGCGGCGTCAGGCTCCCCGCACAGCCGCCCAGGGCAGCACTGGCCCGCGCCCCCTTCCTCCCCGAACCCCCTTCTCCCCCAGCGGCACCCCGCCCTCAGGCCTCCGTCCGCCCTCAGGCCTCCTGTCCGCCCTCAGAGCCTCTGTCCGCCCTCAGGCCTCCTGTCCATGCTGGGTCTGCAGACGGGGCGGCCCCTCGGCCGCTGACGTCGCCAGGCGCGGGGCTTCAACAGCACCGGCATCTCTCCTGGCTCAGGCCAGGCCGCGGACAGGCACCGTGACGTGGCGTGGCGTGGCGTGACATGACGTAGCTGACGTGACTGACCTGACGTGACACGACGCGAGGCCCTCCCTCCTGGGGCACCGCCCGGCCTCTGCCCATCAGGACGTTCCCTCCTGACGCGGCCTCCGGCCGCCCCCTCGGAGCCAGTGAGCCGCCGGCACCGGCACCAGCGTCCTCCCTCCAGGCGCCTGCCCTCCCTCCGGCCGCCCTCCACCGCCCGGCCCGGCCGCCCGCCGCCCCGTCAGGGAGGCAGCGCCCCGGCCGCCCCGTCGGGGAAGCAGCTCCGAGCCAGGGCGCCCCGGCAGCGGAGGCAGCGCCCCGGCCGCCCCGGCAGCGGAGGCAGCTCCGAGCCAGGGCGCCGGGGGCACGGGCGCCGCAGTGCCGCTGCGGGAACGGCGCCCTCCGCGTGCCGCCGTGAGGAGGGGAGGCCGTGCAGGGGCGCCGCTCGGAGGTGCCGCGGGCCACGGCCGTGGCTCTAAGAAGCTCTGTATTCGGTGCCGGCCTGAACGCAAACGTGTCCGCAGAAGTCACCTGTCCGCGAGGGTGACTAATGGCGATTCCCGAGGACGCCGCGTGTGCCAGTGCGTGACGCCCTGTCTGACCCTCGATAATGTCTGTGATCAACTCTTTGAACCACGGGCTGCGTGCGGACCGCGGCTGGTCAGTGTGGGGAGAGAACACGGAGGAGGACACGGCCGTCAGGACGGCCAGGCGGACGCCCGGGTCGGCTCTGGGGCCGGCGGAGAGCAGCCCGGGCTCAGGGTGAGCGTCAGAGGCCGAGCCCCGGAGCCGCCGGGGCGCAGCCCCCCGGCCAGGGGCTGGCCATGCTCCTGAGGGAGAAGCCCGCACACTGCTGACCGGCGGCTCTGCCGTTCCCGGTCACTGGCCCGCGCTCCGGCTTCCGCTCACCCGCAGGCGCCGGGGCTGGTCCCACGGGCAGAGGGCAGTGGGTTCGTGCACAGACTCTTGCCCGCACACCAGGAGGCATGCCGGCTCCGGCCAGGGCCGCCCGCCCAGCGCCGAGCCCGATGCCCCAGGGCCAGGCACAGGCAGGCTCACGCGCACCCTCCGCGGCCGGCCGGCCAGCCGCTCACCGTTGCGGTTCCGCAGGCTGGGGTCCGCCCCGCCCTTGAGCAGCGCCAGCACGCAGTGCCGGTGGGCCCGGTAGGCCGCGCAGTGCAGGGGCGTGTTCCCCAGCTGGTCCGCGCAGTTGATGTCCGGGGGGTTGGGGCCGTTGAGCTGCCGGGAGAGACACGCAGAACCCGGGGTCAGAGCCGACCTCCCCCAGCAACACCTGCAGCCGCGGACCACACGCCTGGCTCCCCGCGGCTGCTGCTCCCCCAACCAGCCAGGCTGACCCGTGTCACCCCAGGCTGTCCTCCAGGGGCCATGAAGGCCCAGGCCCCCACCCCTCAATAGGAAAGCTGTTGGTCTGTCCCAACACGGTACAGATATCCCAAAATACTGTCCCTCCTTCACATGTTCCCTTCTAGACATTGGGCAGACCCTTCAGAAATGGCTGCCATGCCCTAGCCAGTGTGGCTCAGTGGATAGAGCTTCGGCTTGTGGACTAAAGGGTCCCAGGTTCGATTCCAGCCAAGGGCACATGCCCAGGTCACGGACTCAATCTCCCCCAGTAGGGGGCGTGCATGAGGCAGCCAATCAATGATTCTCATCATTGAAGTTTCTGTATCTCTCCTTTTCTCTCTGAAGTCAATAAAAATACATTTTTTTTTTTTTAATGAAAAAAAGAAACGGTCGTCAGTGAGAGAACCCCATGCCTGCAAAGGGCCTCAGCCGTCCTCACGTTCAGTTCTTGCCTGGAAAACCCGCTCCCAGCCGGCAGGTTCCAGTGGAGTAGGGACCCATGTCAGGAATTCAGAGGAAGCCTAGCATTCCACAGGCAGCCCGAGTAAACCACAGACTTGTGTTCCGTTATGATGAACTTGAGTATTTTAGCCCCCCAATGCTACCAAGTTATAAAGTTAACATTAAGGAAATGTGTTCTCTAGGGCAAAATCTATACTTATAAAAGGGTGATATGCTATTAGACCGGACATCTTCCGGAAGTCCTTCCTGACAAAGCCACGGTGACAGGGACCAAGGCAGGAGTGGTTAGGGGTGATCAGGCTGGCAGGGGGGAAGTTAGGGGCGATCAGGCCCGCAGGGGGTAGCAGTTAGGGGGGATCAGGCCGGCAAGCAGAGGTGGTTAGGGGCTATCAGGAAGGCAGGCAGGAAAGCGATTAGGAGCCAGTGGTCCCGGACTGCAAGAGGGATGTCCCACAGGGATCGGGCCTAAACCAGCAATCAAACATCCACTGAGGGGTCCCAGATTGAAGAGGGTGCAGACTGGGCTAAGGGACCCCTTCCCGCCCTGTGCACAAATTTCATGCACCAGGCCTCTAGTCTATATATAAAAGCCATAATGGCCAGTCGCTAACATGCACTGACCACCAGGGGGCAGACACTCAGCACAGGAGCTGCCCCCTGGTGGTCAGTGTGCTCCCACAGCCAACTTCCTGCAGTTGGCCAACCTTCCACGGACCCTGCCCCTGGCCAGCCCCCAGTGATCTCAATCAGGACTGGGTGAGATGGCCCCCATCAGCCTGATCGCTGGCCAGGCCAAGGGACCCCACCTGTGCGTGAATTCATGCACCGGGCCTCCAGTAAAGAAATAGTGCCCCCCCCCTTATTTTTTTTTTACCAGAGCTGTGAGTTCTGCTGTTTTTCCTTCTCTTGCTGCTTCTAACAGTAACTCTTCAAGCTTTCTTTGCTGAGTCCTTTCTACAGCTGCAAAGGGAAATATAGTATGTCTCAGTTGGGACACCCAGCACGTCTATCACAAGCCGATGAAGAACATGGCGGCAGGCGGAGGACAGCCATCAGGGGCTCCGGTGTGACCCCGCGGCTGGCAGGCAGCACGGCTCCGCTCACTGCCCTCACGTCAGACCCAGGGTCACCTCCTTTCAGGTCACAGGAACTGGTTTCGCCCATTCCTCACCACGGCCCCCTCACAGAGTTAGGAAGTACTTTCTCAGCTGAAATACTGTGACGTGTCTAACTCGGAAAGGGAGACACATGGGGAGAGGCTTCACACCTCCAAACCCTTAGCTGTGGACAGCAACAAGAAACAGCACTGGTGGGAAATGTACCAACCATGAGTGTTTAGATTTATATATACTTCCACACTTCCACATAAGAATACAAATTCACTTCTTTTAAAAACATATATATATTATTGATTTTGAGAGGAAGAGAGAGGGAGAGATAGAAACATCAACAATGAGAGAGAATCACTGATCGGCTGCCTCTTGCATGCCCCCTACTGGGGATAGAGCCACAATCTGGGCATGTGCCCTGACCAGGAATTGAACTCTGACCTCTTGATTCCTAGGCTGATGCTCCACCACTGAGCCACGCCAGCTGGTCTGGTTAAGCAGATTTTCAAAACTTGCCACCATGTGGTAACAAGTTCGCAGCTGAAAGCTCTGAGGAAACTCTGGTCGAGATAACTCTGTGTCTAATCAGTGACTCCTCAATCACTCCCCTCAGAGCCCAGGCTCGGGTCCGAGTTTGTCAGGTTAGAAGCAACGGTGGCGCCTGTTTGGAAACCTGACCACGGTGAGAGGAAAGCTAATCCCGTGAGGTTACCGTCTGACAGGAAGTGCTGGAGTGAGGTCGAGACCTTTACCTTCGAGCATGTTTCTGATTTCTTTGTCGTGAGTGACTTCCTTGGCTCTCTGTCCACTCCCATTGACAATGGTGGGATCGGCGTTATATTCTAAAAGAAGCATCACCAACTCCTGAAAAAGGCAAAATGCTTTCAGCTGTTATTAAACCCAGACTTGGTTGTGTAATAGCCTTTTACAAAGTACTAACTAACCGAGTTTCTACAGTAGAGAAAAGCACTGTGTATGAATTTTTATAGATTTATCTCAGCAGTGTTTCCCAAACTTTTGACATATGTGTACCCCTTCTATAATTTTCGCAATACTGAGTACCCCTCGTACTCCTGAGAACGTAGAATTAGGCGCAGCTACGCACGGTGCAGTGCATATCCCCACCAAACTCTTCCCGTACCCCTGGGGGTATGCGTACCACACTTTGGGAAACAATGGTCTACAGTAAGTGAATACTGAGAACTACTATACATTGAATACTAGAATTCAACTAATTATAATTAATGACTGCCTGAACAACTGTCAATCCACAATGAACAAAGACAACTTCTAACATCTGTAATTAATTTTTAAGTTATCTTTTTTTAACAAAGTTGATTTCATGTGATCAAATTACGTTAACAAGATATTATTTAAGTTATAGCAGACAGATTATTTCACATTGCTCTTCCAAAGCCTGTAATTTCCCCATCAGACCTAGATGGGGATGGGGAGGCGGAGGCCGGGTGAATTCCAACAATTTAGGCAAAAAAGGAGGCAGATATAAATGGAATCATGAAAATTTAGAGGCAGAAAGCAAATCAGTGGAAGCCTGACCGTGGACTAGAAGCAGCAAATGAATGCCAACAGCCTGAGGGAACTTGGTGGGGGAACGGAATGTTCCAGAGCCAAATGGGGGGGAGGATCGTCGCATAGACGTGTAAATGCACCGACAATCCCCACAGCAGGCGTGTCATGCGTGTCATGCAGTGCACACTTTCCTCTGAGGCTGTTTGAAGGATCAGCTGGGCCCCCCTCCCTGCAGCACACGGGAGGCTGGGCTCCCCCAGGGGAGCTGGAGTGGAGGCTCCTGACCTCACACCCAACCTCACTGTCCGATGCCGACTAAACGACGTGGGACCTGCGACCCCCAGTGTTGGTGACACACGTGTGCACTTCGTCCCGGCGGCAATGCCTCCGGTGTAAAGAGCAAACACCTGTGACCGCTCTCCCAGAGGCTCCACTCGCGAGCACGGAACACGGAACACGGAACACGGAACACGGAGGCCCTCACCTTCCTCCCTGTGAAGGCCGCTCGGTGCAGGGGCGTGTCGCCCATGTCGTTCAGGACGTTCACCTCCGCTCCCGCCTGGGGAACACGAAGCGTTAGAAGTGTTACAGGTGAAGCACACAACGTGGAAGTAATTTCCTAAAAATGCCTTAAATATTTTGGAACTTAAAGTCTTTGAAATGTGAAAACAAGTTCATTTCATACAAAAGTAAACAGTAAACTTCCTGCAAGGTCAACCTCGCTGGTAGGGAGAAAAATGAAAAGCTACTTTTCTGTAAAAATCTAGGCCCTCCGCTGAACTTCAGGAACAGCCATATTTTAAAAACGCAAACCATCTCTGAATGAAATACCGTATTTTTGCCACCAATTTAGTAAGTTTTTAGGGGGAAAGATGCCACCATTTAAACGTGCACAGCTATTTTAAGATGCAATTCAACTTCAGAAATGTTAATATGGGAAAAGTTGTTAATCACAGAATTGAGAAATTTGAAGTCTTACATTATATGATGCTCATTAATAAATTATGTAATTACTTTTTAATTAGAGGCCTGGTGCATGAATTCTTGCCCAGGTGATATCCAGCCTGCCCCCCAATCGGGCTGGGGGAAGGGGATGAAGGAGGTTGGCCGGGCAGCCCCACCCCCCAATCGAGGTGAGGCTGGCCAGGGAGAGGGGCGGCAGGCAGTTGGTGGGCCGCCACCCTCCCAATACTCCCCCTCACCCTGCCGCCACCCCCCACCTCGAAATCCTGGTAGAGGGGACAATTTGCATATTAGCCTTTTATTATATAGGATTATATAGAATTTTCCTTAACTATTATGCTAAAAACAAGACAAAACTGAAAACATACAACATCTTCATTCATTCATTCATTCATTCATTCATTCGTCCACTTTCGGATTTTCAAAAAGCCAGCACTATAGAAATCGAATGACTCAGGGTAACCACTTCCTGCATCTAGGAAAGAACAACTGGTGGCCTGAGTAAAGAGCTACCGCTCGGCATACGCCATCTGGCTCAGGCGGCTTCCCTACAACGTTCCTGACTCCCACGCCGCTTCCCACTGCGTTCACATGAGAATCAGCATCCGCGTACCTGCAGCAGGTCCTGGACCACCTGTCTGTGTCCGAAGTAGCAGGCCAGGTGGAGCGGGGCCCAGCCCAGATTAGACTTGCTTCTTCCTAAAACAATGGGCCAGGAGGCATGTTAGGTGTAATGTCAGTCACTCCGCAGGAACTGCACCTGCCTGGACAGGCCCCCCCTGAGGCCACTCCGAGGCCCGGCCTGGCCCTTCCCAGCCGCACTGGGGACGGGGAGGCAGAAGCCAGGAGAGAAAGGGGAGGGCACGGAACGGCAGATCCCAGTCCTCAGTCAGCGTCTCCTTCCCGAAGGCGGAGGGGACGAAGGGGCTCAGCAGCTGTGGCTCCACGGCCCGGTTCCCCCGCCTTGTCCCCTGGCCCAGGCGTGTGCTCTGACACGTGTGTCATGAGAAGAGGCTGTAAGGGGAGCGTGGGCCGGACGGGGAGCTGTGAGCGCGCAGGCAGCGGCTGAGGCCTCCTGACCCAACACAATCTCAGTGACGAGGCAGCTGGGAGCCAGGCCCAGCCCGGGGACAGCCACAGGAGAGGCAGTGACAGCCCTCCGGCGTGCACTGAGCAGAGGGACAGCCAGGGGGGTTGTGAGAACAGAACTAAGTCCATTAGCAAAGACAGGGGCACGAAGCCGAGAGCTCAGATAGCCCAGAACCCTCCAACCCCCTCCCCCAGTCCACCGGGTCCCTCAAAGGGTCCCTTCAGTGCCCACCTGGCCTCCTGGGTCTAGGATTTGAGCCAACCTCACCCTCGGCGCTCCCAGCACGGCCCCGCACGCCCCGAGGGACTGTCTGCCCTTCACCCCCGGACCAGACCACACGCCGCTGCTGTGCCTCAAGCACGGCCGCCCAGCGGCACCACCGAGATGCTCGCGGCAGGCCCAGCCCTGTCCGAGCTCACCGCCCGCCACCCCATCCACGCTGTCCCCACGCCCAGGGCCACGCTCCCACAGTCCGCCACCGGGGGGCTCCCTCAGTGCCCACGCCCCCCAGGGTGCTCTGGGGGCGCCGCCTCCACCCGTGAGCCCCTCACGATCGGCCTCTCCAACAACCACACCTCCCCGCCGGCCCTCCACCGCTCACACGCTGATGACGCTGAAACTCCTATTTGCATTTCCGACTCTGCTGGACACTCCACTCGATGGCACAGACACCCACGCTCAGCAGGTGCAGAGCCGGACCTGTCTTTGCGCACACACGCACACATGCACAAGCACACATGCACAAGCACACTCGCACACGCAAAACACACACACACTACCTCGTCCCCTCCACAACTGCTTCTACAGAAACTGACCACTGTCACCTCACTTCTCAGTCAGAAATGAGCCTCACTCGCTGCTTCCCGCCTTCCCCATTCCCTCTGCCCTCCTGCTGCCTCCGGGACAGGTCTCCTCACACCCACCCCCATCAAATGTCCCAGGACCCTAAATTATTTAAACACACTCACACATTCTCTATTCTTTTTACCACTTATCCTGGATATCCAGAGTTTTGTTCAAGAATAAGAAATATCCAATTTAGTAATGTTTACAAAGAACAACACCCCATACAGAAAATATGGGAACACGGATAATGGTGCCATGGGCAATAGCCACAGAGACAGGGTGATGGGGGACAGGAAGGAGACAGGGTCAAACAGGTTCCCGTCAGGGCTGAGCCGGTCCGTGGACACCATTCTGGGCCCCTCGCCTTTGTGAGGAAACGTGGCACCCGGCTCAGCCAGGAGGTCGGTAATCAGCCCTCGGAGACCTGCCTTTAACACACCTCAACCCCATCTGCCTTTGGAGCAGAGAATCCCGGGCCCTCAGGGCAACGGGACACACCACCCAACGGACGTGCAGGCCCTTCTGGGACGATGCTACCGGCTCTGGCGGCCGTGCCCGGGCAGGTGCTGCCCGTGGCCACTCTGCGCTCGGCGGGGGCTCGGCGGCTGGCGTCCTCCAGCAACAAGAGGCTGGTGGTTCCCACTCAGGGTGCCGCCCAGGCTGTGCGGCTCCAGCCCCAGCGGGGGGCGTGCCTAAGGCAGCCGATCGGGGGGTGAAGTGGGCACAGTGTTAACATTTCCGCTCAGACTTCGGTCGCTCACTGGCCTGCAGCACAGCCCGGGTCACGGAGCCTCTGGCCTTCCGCACGGGAACCACTCAGACCCGTCTTTCCGGAAGGACCGGGCGTTTGGGATTCTTTGAGCTGCGTCTCCTCTGGGCCACACTCACTCGGTGGACACTGGACACATCAACCATCACCATGGTTTCTTCCTGCCCCTGAGGGGAGGCCGAGGGGGCTGGAGGCCAGGCTGGGACAGGCTCAGGAGCCGCCCACTGGACCGAGGACTGCGGGACGAAGGAGTCCTGGCTCCCGTGAGCCCAAAGGCACAGAAACGGGGGCCCTGAGAGCAGGCACGAGACGCCTGGGGTGCTAGGAAAAGACCCCGGATGCCACCCCCCACCCGACCCACCACAGGCAGCAGTCACCCCGAGGGAGCGCAGAGGGCAGGCCCGCGTGGCTGCAGGCGGCTCTGAGCTCCGGGTTACGCCTCAGCAGGTGCAGCCAGACACGGAGGCGGGTGGCTCTCGGCCAATGAGGGCCACGGTGAGTCTCCTGGGCCGGCCGAGGAGCCGCCGCCCCCTCGATGGACAAGCGGCCTGGTTCACACTCCCCAGCTCTGCCTTAGGGACAGGGGTCACCTGCCCAGCTCTGCCTTCCACCCCTCCCCTCCCCTCCTCCGCCCTCTCACCCCTCCCCTCACCTCCTCCGCCCTCGGGCGGCCCTGTGCCCACGGCCCTCCCACCCCTCCCTCACCTCCTCCGCCCTCGGGCGGCCCTGTGCCCACGGCCCTCCCACCCCTCCCCCACCTCCTCCGCCCTCGGGCGGCCCTGTGCCCACGGCCCTCTCACCCCTCCCCTCACCTCCTCCGCCCTCGGGCAGCCTCTGGGCGGCCTCTCCCCTCGGGCCAACACCTGCTGTTTCCTCCACACGGACTTCACCTGGTGAAGCCCACACACTCTTTTCTTATTAAATATATTTTATTGGTTTCAGAGAGGCAGGTGGGGGGGAGACAGAGACATCAGTGACGAGAGGGAATCACTGGTCGGCCGCCTCCTGCACGCCCGACACTGTGGATAGAGCCCAGAGCCCGGGCATGAGCCCGATCAGGAATCGAACCGTGATTTCCTGAGTCACGATGCTTACCACTGAGCCACACTGGCCGGCCTACCCACTCTTACTGTACCATCTTAGAATCCCTTCCTCCGAGGCACTGCCCCCCTCGGGGCTTTCAGAGGGAGTCCATGGCCAGCAAGAGCAGGAAGGAACGCCGTCGGGGGCACCGAGAGGGGAGGAGCTGCCCGGCGCCCACCTTTGCAGTTGATGTCGGCCACGGCCTCCTTCTTGCCCACGGTCTCCAGCAGCCGCCTCACCTCGGCGGCGTGGCCGTTCCGGGCGTGGTGCAGGAGCTGCTGCTCGGCCTCCGTGTTCATCGCTGCGTGGAAACAGCACCGCGGGGGTTAACGGGGAAGCCGACGTGTTCTACAGTTTGTAAAACTTTATTTATCATTTTAATATATTTTATTGATTTTTTACAGAGAGGAAGGCAGAGGGACAGAGAGCTAGAAGCATCCATCAGCTGCCTCCTGCACCCCCCCCCCCCAACTGGGGATGTGCCCGCAACCAAGGTACATGCCCTTGACGGGAATCGAACCTGGGGCCTTTCAGTCCGCAGATTGACACTCTATCCACTGAGCCACACCGGTTTCGGCGGTTTGTAAAACTTTAAACAACGAAGTTAAGTTAAATAAAAAGCACCCTAACTCAGGAGAGCGCTCTCCCTAAGAACCTGAGGCGCCCTAACTCAGAGGAGCACTCTCCCTAAGAACCAGCACCTGCCCCAGGTCAGCATCGCCCCAGGTCCCTGCTCGTGGGGCTCAGGAACCGAGGAAAAGTATTCTTACAATTTTGGTCAAAATGTTGCTGATTTTTAGAAATCTTTTTGATTTCCAAATACAAGGAGACACCGGATTGTTACCCAGGCTCCTCACCAGCTCACAGACGATGAAGTCACAGCGTGCTCCGACCTCACAGACCACAGTCACACCAGGAGGTGTCTGTCCACCGGGAAAGACGGCATCAAAGGGCCCTTCATGGAGCCTGCCCGCGGCCAGCCCCGCCCCCGCCCCCGCCCCACCTCTCCAGGACAAGAGGCACCACATCAAAGACCGGCAGCATCCTTGGTGCCCACACAGAACGCTGGGCTCCGTCTGTCCGTCTTTCCTGTTGGCTAATGAGTATGATGAGTGATGAGTATTATGCTTGCTCTGTAGGCTTCTCTCAAAGCTACGGGCACAGCCCACCTGCTAAAAACTGCTGAAGGTGCGTAAGGTAACTTTTGTATCATCGATAATACACTCTGTACGGGTCCTCTTTTGAAATTCAGGAGAAATGCTATTGCCAAAAGGAAAACTGTGTACACAAACATATAGACAGGTACGCGTATTTTAAAGAAGTTAAAAAGAAACAGTTTACCCTAATAAGTTGGTTATTTCTGAATAAATAAAAAGAGACAAACTAAGAAGAACATTGTATACTTGGAATTCGAATAGAGAAACAATTAAATGCACTTATAAACAAACACATATATTGTACAAATTAAATCTTAAAAACATTTTTAAAAAGCTATAATGTGCTTCGTTAGCACGACATTCCAAAGCAGCGAGCTGCTCCAAGGTGTGGGGATTTTCCAATATTATATTCTGTTAATATGAGGAAAATATTAAAAATTAAATTACTTATATAAAAACAGCAACAAAATAAATTTTGCTCTCAATCATATTAGCTCCTTGCAAACAACCAGTAAGTTCTCTAAAACAGGCATATATGTATATATGTATACACACACGTATACACAAGTGTATATATAAAATTATGACATTTGTGTTAACAAAAAAATAATGCATTTTTGTTTTAGAAATTGCACACTAGTAAACAGATACACATTTAACATGGATTTCAGAGATGAAGGAACTGAGAAGTACAAAGATAAAGTCACCTGCTGAGTACTCTATGCCAGTAAAGCCACAACCAGAATCCACAACGTCTAAGCAGGGGTGAAATAATAGCAATGCTATTTCATAAAACTCAGCTCAGCCTCTAAAATTAAATGTGTGGGGCGGGGTGGGATAGAGGGGGTCAATGTGGGGAACAGGGGACATATGTAATATTTTCAACGATAAGGTTTTTTTTTTTTTCAAAAAATAAAATTAAATGCCACTGATCTTAGTAAATGTTCAAGTGTGAGAATTGAGGAAGTTGACTCTGAATTATATCTCATTTTAAGAAGCTTTATTTACTACTTAATGAGATAGCCAAAACACAGCAATTTAAGGACAACCACAGCAAATTGTAAAGTTTGTTTTAGGAATCCTAACACTCATTTCTTCTTTAAAAAATAAAAATATTGAAAACCATTAAGTTTTGATTCAGTGAAACTTTCACTCTCATCCTCGAGGCGCGGGGTCGGTGTCCACGGCTACACTGGACGCTCCACGCACAGGGCACCAGCCGCCGCCGCCGCCGCGAAACGCTGACCCTGGCCGCCCGTCACCATCTCCTGTTCACACGCAGGCCCACCACGCGGACGGGGACGCCACCCACACATAATAAATATTTACCTTATCTTACTCAGCTGGAAACGTCAATGTTTATCAAAATCGGTGAAATTAAGTGAGCGCCATGGCTTTGCTTTAACCTTACACTGCTATGCATTCCATCTGCTTCCACAGCCACGAGCAGTCAAACCCTCAGACGCACCCTGACTTGGATTTCAACCTGATTCTGAAAGCCGTCAACTACGGTTCCAAAACAGGCTGCAGCCATCAAAGCCGAGGGCAGGAGCTCACCGTGAGGTACGTCCAGCTTTAGATACTAAAAACACCAACAAGAAAGGTGGAGGTCACCTTTCAATGACAAAATCCCCTAAACTTCAGGCCAAATGTCTATACATGTTTCCCATTCTGATTTCCCACTTAAAACTGTCCTCCAAACTGATGTCGAATACTGGCCAGTTGAGCACCATAAACCCAGAAGTTTCTCTTTAAAGGAAAACTGTAAAGTACAAACATGTGGTCGTCATGTGATGGGAAACGCACGGTGAAGGGGCCTTTCACTACACAGCCGTTTCCTGCTGGTCAGACTCTGAGAACGCAGACACAGGACGTGACCTGATGTAACCTCTTCCTGAGAGCATTAAACCATTTCTCACACTTTCCCTCCGTCTTTGTGCGAGGGGTCAGGTAAGGAAAAACCCTTATAAATATATGGCATTGTGATCATCATCATACCCTGTACAGAATGTATAACGGTACCTTTCCTTTTATTGATTTCGGAGAGGGAGAGACAGAAACACACATCAATGGTGAGAAATGCTTCCTGCACACCCCCTACTGGGGATCGAGCCTGCAACCCGGGCCTGTGTCCTGGCTCGAAATCTAACCCCGATCTCCCAGATCATAGGTTGACCCTAACCACTGAGCCCCCCAGACGGGCAGCAGATCTTTTCTGACACCTCCCTAATGAGTCCTGGTGAGCCATAGAAGCTGACCTCTTTCTAGAACAGGAGTCACCAGTCACCAATCAAGTTCTGATTACCATCAGTTCCGGCTTGAAAAAAAAACGACAAGGTTCCAAGCCACGCGATGTCTCACACACACTTGCTACCTACCTTACTCTCTCTCCTCCGTGTGCTGTTAAGCTGATTTCTACCTTCTCCTGACCACTTTTCTCCGTCAACATACAGAATATACAAAACTCACCTCCTAGTAATATCTTGAGGCAAGAAATTGCCACAACAGCCCGAGCTGGTTTGGCTCAGCAGATAGAGCAACCATCTGCAGACTGAAGGGTCCCGGGTTCGATTCCGGTCCAGGGCACATGCCTGGGTTGTGGGCTTAATCCCTAGTAGGAGGCAAGCAGGAGGCAGCCTATCAATGATTCCTTTTCGTCATTGACGTTTCTATCTCAATCTCTCTCTCCCTCTCCATTTCTGTCTGAAATCAGTAAATATATATAAATGTATTATAAACTCGCCACAATAGAGATCCGACCTAAAAATCTGCTACAGATGTATCTCTGAGTAAAACAAAGACACAGGAGACGTTTTAAATGTATTCACTAGACAAAGAGCCCGGTGCATTCCCTCTGTTGTTCTAAGTTGTCATCTCCTGTGTCCGCGGCGGGAGGCGGGCCATGTGTTCGCAGAGGCGCGTCTGCTGTTCTGAATACGGGGACAACCCCTGCCAGCAGCTGCCTCCGGGGACACCCCGAGTTCTGGTGCCCAGGGGCCCCCTGAAGAGCGGGCGCTGGCAAAGCCCTGTCCTGAGACACAGCTGCTCCCGGCGGGTCCACAACACCTGCAGCCCGGACCCTGACCCGGACCCGGACCCGCCTGCAGCCCGGACCCGCACCGGTCACTGTATAAGCTGGGGGTGGAGCCCACAGCTTAGAACCGGGAGAGGAGGCAGAGTGGTTCGGAACCATTCGGAACCCTCTGCCATGGACACCTGGTCTTGCACTCTCGGCTGGGGGTTCGGAAAGGAGCAGGACGGTGCGGTCAGGCCAGCGGCTCTCCCTCCGGGTCCGGAGGCGCCGCCCCGCCGGGCCGTGTCCGGAGGAAGCCCATTCCGGGTCCACCAGGAGGAACACGGACCAACGACCACGGCAGCCGGAGCCCCCGCTCCTCCGGGCGGCGCCCCGCCCCGCCCCGCGAGTCCGCGCCGGCGGGAATCGCAACCGAACCGAGACCTCCCCCGAGGCCCGCCCCCGCCCGCCCCAGCTGTCACCCTCCGCCCGGCCCGCTGACCCGCTGACCCCGCCGCCGCGCCCCCGGTCACGTGAGCGGCGCGTGACTCCCCGGAGCCCACCCCGCGGGGCCGGAGCGCAGCCGCGACGCGCCCGTCCGAGTCCGAGAGCGCGTGGGGGCGCGGGGGACCGGGGGGCCGGGGGGCCGGGGGCCCGGGGGGGCGGGGGGCGGCGGCCGCGGGACGGCTCGGGGCCGGACATCGCCGCGCCGCGACTCCGACCGTCCGCGAGGACGCGGGAAGGCGGCGCGCAGACCTCCCCGGGCACCGAGCGCCGGGCACCGAGCGCCGGGCACCGGGCAGAGTGCAGCCCGCGCGGAGGCGGCCGCGCACACAGACCTAGGCGGCCACCGGCTCCCGGAACCAGGACCCAGACCGCAGCTTCCCGTCCGCTCGCCGCGCGTCGATGAGGCGGGGGTCACTCGGCGCGCGCTGCCCGGACCCGGGCGCGGGAGCCCGGCCGGCGCGAGGGGCAGGACACTTCCCGCGAGGGAGGCTCCGCCCTCCGCGCCGCCCGCTTCTCGCCGCGCGCCCGGGCTCTGGGCGACGATCTAGCGCACGTGACCGGCTCTCGGGCCCAGCCCCCGGCGCCGCACACCCCGCCCCCGGCACCGCCCCAGGCACCGCCC